CGTTGTCATAACCATGGCGGTCCTTTGGTAAGGCACTGGCGTATGGTTTACAAGATACGTGGTTCGAAGACATGACTACTCGTATTTTTGTGAGAAAAACAAAATAAGAAATTTGTGCATGTAGGAAGCAAGTCGTACTATATGAGGAAGGCGAAGGTAACAAATGTGTATAGTTTTCATTTCATGCATCCTGCTGTGTTACAATATATACAATTTATTTATTTGACCGTCACAACACAACAATAAAAGAACTTCGAGGACAATGCCCAGATATAGTTCTGCTACGTGTTTCGGCCACTAGTGGCCATCATCAGGCAAACACACTTCAACAAACGTTCACCACTGAACTGCAGGACGCAAAATTTGATACAGTGTCATAAATCATTTAAGATAATTTACAATAAGAATACAATAAGTAGGTTATTTAAAACTAATAAAAGTCACATATAAAAAAACAAAATTAAAATGTGATTGATTTTTTAANCGTATTTGAACCCGAGTACCACGAGTCATGAGGTGGTAACGTTACCTCTAGACTACTGAGGCCGCTAAAACAAACTCCGTGATTTTGGTAGCACTGGGAATCGAACCCGGACCTCTGGATCTGTAGCCAGGAACGCTCGCCACTAGACCACAGAGGCGGTCTTCTGGGAATTATCTGCCTGGTGCCATCTTAAGGAGGATTCAAGAACACAGAAACTGTTTTCAAGACTGATAAATTATTATAGTCATTTATTATTATATTGTCATATTATTATCTCTGTATTACTATATTATTATCATCATTTATTATTGTATTGTCATATTATTTCTGTATTATTATATACTTATTATTTAGTATTAGTATTAATATTAATCTTTGACTTGTCCCATATCATGTATAATGATCCATGGACGAAATAAAATTGAATTGAATTGAATATGGAGATGTAACTTCGTTCGCAAATGTCTACTTCCGTTTCGCAACCACATCAAATCAAAACTCATACTTACGAATTTGCATATAATGAACCACCATAACTGCATATAATTGTGGGAATTCAAATTGGTTTGTGTAAGCTCTCTGGTCAGGATCTGTGTGTAGAATCTACATCCACACAGCGAGCCAGTACTAACGGTAGTTACCATATTTCCCTTTCTCCCATCCCAGTTTGACCCCTCACCCACCGGTAATATAGGTACAGAACGTCAATTTAACCAAATACAGAGAAATAATTCCACTTTTGTATGTAAGACGCGTATCAATGAGTGGGACCCAGTGAATCCTTGTACATGGAACGTCTCTTGAGCGCTCTTGAGGTTCTATAATGAGGGAAATTATGCTTCAGTTGGGGAATTATTACGACTTGAGGGACATGTAGAGCATGAAGAGGCTTATTTCCCTTCCTCTTTGAATTCAGTTGTCAAATTATATTTCATCTTATAGCACGCGAACGCAAAAGGAGGTATGGTATTCGTCAACCGCGAAATTCAACAAACATAATGGTAATATTTCCGCAATGTTATTGTGAATGAGCCTAAAGAAGATTGCTGCATGAAATATTACATTTGTTTTAGAAAATCTTAGAATGGTTTGAGTTCGTTTGAAATGTTAAAAGTGACGTAGAGAAAGTTAGTATGAAATTCTAATGAAGTTTTTTATGGCGTAGGGTAACGTGAGAAACCATATTTATAAAAATATTTATGCTACTAGGTAGAAGAAAGTAGATAAATCATTACCCAAAGCTTCCCATGAATATGGAAGTTGNGGTGTCACATCGATATGAATCCTGGTTTCCTTCCAAGCATCTTATTTTCTAAAGAGGCTACATTTCACCTTATGGTAAGAGCCAATTAGTAAAACACACATATATGGGGCTCTGATAATCCTCAAAGCTACTGAGCCGGTCCATGATAGCCAAGGTTTGGTATGGCTTAATGGAGAATTACTGGTTGTTCTTCACATAGGCCAACTGATCGCCTATCAATAGGATGTCCCCCCTCCCCCCCATTTCCCATCTCCTCCCTCGTCCTTCAAAGAGAAAGAGACTGGAACATGAGAGCACTATAAATGAATGGTATTAGCGTCGCATCATATTTTGTAACTGTAAGTATTGGCATCTGTTGACCTTTAAAATGTATTAATTCTTTCTCCCAACAGTAATGAAAATTTATAGTAGCAGAATGACCATTAGTTTTGGGAACTTGTTGCCTAATTTAGGTGTAAGGATTTCCAAAGCTGATGAATTATGGCCAGTTTTCAGCTTACCTATGACATAGAGTCTGTTGAAATTAAGCATCTTGCTGATAAGGCTGAACTTCAAAGATGTTACAAATGTAGCTAAAATGGCTCAAGATAGCTGACTTAGAAGATTTTACACAACATGATTTTAAAATTTACCATCTTTGTAGAGTCAGAATGGCTAGATATTGAAGGCTTTCCAAATGTGGCATTAGCTCCTTGTTTCTTCCCATTCCAGAAAAATTATATTTCAAAAGTAGCCAACAAATTTAAAGTACTTCTGGAGCATCCTAACTAACTTAATGGAGATGAGCCCTTCTTGAGAAGCTGCCATTTGTTCAGCTGCTCAAGAAGTTCCCAGCATTTTATGGAACCTGAAGGTTCATTACCATGTTCACAAGAGCCCTTCACTGGTCCCCATCCTGAGCCTGATTGATCCAGTCCATACCACCCTTTACTGTCTCTCCAAGATCCAGTTTAATTTTATCCACCCACCTACATCTTGCTCTTACTAGTGGTCTCTTTCCTTCTGGCTTTCCCACCAATAACCTATATGCAGTCCTCTTCGCGCCCATTTGTGCTACATCCCATGCCAATTTTATCCTCCCTAACTTCATCGTTCTAATTATACTTGGTGAAGAGTACAAGTTATGAAGCTCCTCATTATGCAGTTTTCTCCAATCTCCTATCGCTTCATCTCTCTTCTATGCAGATATTTTCCTGAGAACTCTATTCTTCAACACCCTTTGTCTTTGTTCCTCCTGTAATGTCACAGACCAAGTTTCACCCTCATACAGAACCACTGGGAAAATTATAGTTTTGTATATTCTGATTTTTATGATTTTAGACGGCAGACGAGACGACAGAAGGTTCTGGACTGAATGGTAGCAAACATTTCCGGAATTCAGTCTCCTCTTAATTTCCTCCTGAATCAAGTTTTGATGTGTTATTGCATTCTCAAATATATGAACTGTGCCACATTTTCAAAACATCTGTTAGCTATCTTTATGTCATGATTTTGTCCTGCCTTCTAGTGATGAGAAAGCAACATATACTTAGTTTTCTCTGTGTTTGCTACTAGACCAACCTTCTTACTAGTGTCAATTAAAGTTTCTGATTTTTTTCTGTATGGTATCTATGTTATCACCCAGTAGATTTACATCATCAGCATATACCAGCAGCTGATATGTCCCATTTAATTTCAGTCCCACCTGGTGTCTCTGGACATTACTAATGGCATATTCTAAAGCAAATGTGAAAAGCAGTGGCAATAAAGCATTTCCTGGTTTTAGACCATTCTGGATAGGAAATTTATCAGACAAATGTTTACCTATATGGACTTCACTACACATTTTAATCAGCCTAACTAGTTTCATGGGTACCCAAACTCTGTGAGAATATTGCACAATATGTCCCTCCTAACTGAATCATAGACTTTCTTGAAATCTATGAAAAGCTGATGTACTGTCTTGCACTCCCATTTTTTTTTTCAGTATCTGACGAACGCAAAAATCTGATCAGTAGTTGATCTGTTACTTCAAAATCCACACCGATGATCCCCAGTAATTTCATATATGTATGGACTTATCCTGGAGAGAAAGATATTGGATGAAATTTTGTATGAAGTTGATAGTGATATCCCACAATAATTGCTACAGTCACCCTTCTTGTGAATTGGTACAATAATAGACTCCTTCCACTGATCATGCAATTCTCCGTTATTCCAAATAGAATTAATAAGCTTACAGATCACAGACACTAATGTTACACCTCCTCCTCGAATCAGTTCTGCCTGAATATGATAATTACGTGGTGATTTATAACCTTTTCAACTTTGCAATAGCATTTTCAACCAAAAAACGGCTAGGATCAGGTACAAATGGCTCAGCTATATGCATTTCTCTCTGCTCAACATCACTGAACCCTATGTACATTCAAATAGCTGATAGAAGTAGTTCTTCCACCTGTTCATAATGTTGTGGGAATCTGCAAGCAGATCACCATTCTCATCCTTCATTAAGTTACTTCTAGGTTTGTAACACCTCTTGAAGTCAGTTATCCTCTATACAGGTCTCTAATATTCTTTATTTCTTTTCTTTTCATTGCAAGCTCATCAATTTTGTCTTTCACATATTCCTTGTTCGTATCTAGAGCATCCAAAATGATTAATTGAGAAGATTCTTTGTTTTTAGAACATGTCCATTACATTTTAGAGAAATTAAAACTTGTGAATGTATATAACTTTCAGACAAATATGAATCTTGAAATGCAGCCTGACCTGAAGTGTTCAGGGATTAACAAGCAAGCGTTTCAGCTGAAAAATTCCAGGAGAGATGGGTAAGAATGCTGTATGTACAGTTTGTGCTGTTTTAATGTGTATTTCATTGAAACCACAGACTTATATGAATTTTATTGAATATCTGGCCAAGGGTTGAACTGATTTGTCCTTTTATGGTTGTAAATACCTGAAGCCAATAAGTTGTAGCACTGGAAGGAGAGTAGATTTTTTATTATTTGAATATATTTAATATAGTGTTATAACATATTATAATGTTGTGTATGCAGTATGAAATGTGTGTCATTGGTAATTAAAGGAGTGGTCAATTCTTGGATTATAAATAAAGGTAAAGATGGTGATGTGTTATGGCATCATCATATCAAACCAGTGCATGATTCATACTTATAATTTTTTTAGGTTAATCCTGCAAGTACATCATACCATTCCCACAGATAGTGGTGAGATACACCGTGTTCGATTCCTGCATATGGCATTTAATGAAACCGGAGAGATACTGGCAGCTTCTGACCACAGGGGCAATGTTTTCATTATTGACTTGGCAAATGAAAAGTAAGAAATAAATCTTTCATTGGAAGGTTATGTTATAATTTGGTAATTTATGTAGTACATTCATATGGTTGGTTCCACTAAATCAGCAGCCATTATTTTAATTTATTATATGGTTGATAAACCTCTGATTGCAAGAAATTCCCGCAATATACAAGTATGTGTTGTCACTGGTACAGAAAAATGTGAAAATTCTGATGCTAATTATGTTTCAGCATTCAAATTTCCATGCAGTGGAAACCTGAAATAATGGATGTAGTGAACAACCATGTTTGTAGTTAACATACGTTATAGAAGGTTGCCTGCCCCTGAAGAATGTGTCTACATTTAAAATGTGTGCCAGAAATATTACCTGCTGCTTTAGACTGTTATCTGACAGGAAATCAAGTTAGCAACATTAAATTCGGATTGTGCCAATTGAAATATGATCTTTGTTTTAGTATACATTCGAGAATAGGACACATCATAGATTGAAAAAGTCAAGCTTCATCAGGTAGAAATCACTGGTTCAGGAGTTCTTGCTATTAATGTTAGGCTAAGATTGACTGGTACAGATACTGACATAAAGAGAATTGTTTTGGTTAAAAGTCTTGACTCATCGTCATCATCAGTAATCTGTCAGACGGCAGGTCCACAGTCTCTTCCAAAACACTTCCTCCACTTAATGCGATCTAGAGCTTTCTCCTTCAAATGACAGTATCCTCTTCTGTCCCCAAGGTCATCCAGCATCTTCTTACGTCTTCTTCCTCGTCTTCTTGTCACTTCTATCCGCCCCTCTATCTTTCCTTCAGTAACTTCTTTTAGAAGGCAGTTTCTGTGTAAAACATGACCAATCCAATTAGTCTTCCGTTTTCTTATTTCATGTAGGATATTCCTCTGCTCACTGACTCTAATTAACACTTCTTCATTTCTCACATAATCGGTCCAACTGATCTTCTCCATCCTTCTCCAACACCACATTTCGAAACTTTCCAGATGTTTCTGATCTACTGCCCTAAGTGTCCATGTTTCAGCCCCATACAGAGCTATGCTCCAAATGTAGCATTTCACTAGTTTCTTCCTCAAATTTAAGTCCAATTTGCTGGTAAAAAGATTCTTCTTCTTGCTAAATGCAGCTTTTGCCATGGCAATCCTGGATTTAATTTCACTACTACACCTTCCATCATCTGTTAACAAGCTACCCAAATATTTAAAACATTTCACATTCTCCAGTTGTTTTTGGTCTATCTTTATTGTGACTGGGGTTGGTTGTCTCGAAATTTTCATTACTTTTGTTTTCTCCACATTCATTTCCATGCCATAGCACCTTCCAATTTCAATTAGTCTATCAATCATGCCCTGTAGCACAGTTTCTTCCTTAGCCATTAACACAAGGTCATCTGCATATTTCACAGTTTGAATAATTTGCCCTCCTACTTTGAAGTCACCGAGCCCATCCAGAGCTTCCTTGGTAAGGCATTCGCTGTACAAGTTGAACAGAATTGGTGATAAACAGCATCCTTGTCGAACTCCTCTTCCAATCTGCACACTTCCTGTCTCCCCCCTGTCCAGTCGTACTCTAACTTTCTGATCCATGTACAATTTGCTAATCAATCTTCTTTCATGCCAATCGATACCTGTTTCTTTCAGGATCTGCATTAATTTGGTCCAGTTTACCCGGTCAAATGCCTTCTGCCAGTCTATGAAGCAAACACACAGTTCTTCATCTATCTCCAAAGTTCGTTCCGCTATAATTCTCATCATCCCAATTGCATCCCTGGTTCCTTTTCCTCTTCTAAATCCAAACTGATCTTCTCCAAGTACATCCTCTATTTTCCTTTCAATTCTTCTTTTAAGTATCTTTGCTATTATCTTTGCTGTATGTGCAATAAGACTTATTGTGCGATGGTCGCTGCATTTTGTAGCTTTTGTCTTTTTCTTTAAGGCAATCATTGTAACTTCTGTAAAGTCCTTGGGCCACTCTCCACTTTCATATATGGTGTTCATTAGTTTTGTCAGTGTTTTCAAACCACCTTCTCCCAGTAACTTGAGCACATCTCCAGGTACATCATCATCTCCTGTAGCCTTTCCCTTCCTCATTTCCTTGATAGCTTTTTCCACCTCACTTTGTAAAATATATGGTCCTTTCTCGTCTGTATCTACTTCTTCTTCCGGTTCAACTTCTAAGGTTTCTGGCCGATTAGGTCGATCATATAGTTCTGAAATATAATTTTCCCAAATTTTCAGCACTTGCCTCTGATCTACTATTCTATTCCCCTGGGAGTCTTCGATGCCAACATTTTGAATCCCATGATTCTCTTTCCATCCTAGTTCTTTTGTCTTCATGTACATCAAATCATAACGGCCTGTTCTTTGAAATTCCATAATCTCATTACATATCTTCTCAAGATATTCCTTTTTGGCCCTGTCCGTGGCTCTTTTCAATTCATTCCTCAGTCTCCTGTATTTCCTCCTGCCTTCTTCATTGTTGACATTCTTCCATTTCCTTCGCTCCTCCATTTTACTCATCATCTCCTGTGTAACCCATGGTTTTCTTGCTATCTTCTCAACTTTACCTACCAAATCACTGATAGTATCTAACATGCATTCTTTTATATCGTTCCACTGCGCTTCAGCATTTCCGCTTTCACCTTCAATTGCACCGAGTTTCTCTTCTAGAGTCTCTTGCACGCTTTGTCTTTGAGCATATAACTTCTCCAAATCCCATCTGGGTCTGCGCTTTCGAAATCCTATAATTTTCTTCAACCTGGTTCGGAACTTGGCAACCAGCAAGTTGTGGTCAGAGTCAATGTCTGCCCCAGGAAGCGTCTTCACATCCTTCACACTGTTTCTGAATCGATGTTTCACAAGGATGTAGTCCAGCTGATGCCTCTTCCAATCCCCAGGTGCCTTCCATGTGTAAATTCTTCTCTTTGGCTTCTTGAACCAAGTGTTGGTAACAATCAATCCATTTCGTTCACAAAAGTCAATAAGCATTTGACCTCTGTGATTCCGTCTTCCTAGTCCATGTGATCCAACAATATTCTGATATGGTTCATCTCCAACAATGCTGTTCCAGTCTCCCAATATGATGCTGTTTGTGTCTCCTCTTCCATCTTCCTGAAGAATTTCTTCAATTGTGTCATACACTTTTTCCACTTCATCATCTTCATACTCTGATGTTGGCATGTACACTTGTATAATCAGTATATCTACCGGTTCCGCCTTTAACTTCAGAGCAATAATTCTGTCATTACAAGCAATCTTCTTAACAACACTCCTCACTACACTTTTATGCACCACTATTGCCACACCTCTTTCAGCCCGTTCACCTCCGGAATAATACACTGTATAATCACCGCTTCTTATTTCACCTTGTCCTTTCCACCGCACTTCGCTGACACCTAGCACAGACACTTCATTCTTCTGCATTTCCGTTTTCAAATTCTCCAATTTTCCTGCTTGATTCAAGGTCCTGACATTCCATGTTCCAATCTTGTATCCATGCTGTTTCTTCTGATCTTCGCACTTTTTCTTGTTGTAACGCCTGCATGACATTTCCTCTAGAAACACTCCCCCCCGGAGATCCGATTGGGGGAGTAGTTTACCTCCGGATTGTTTTGCCTCCAGAGGAAACATCTCGCATATATGGTATCTCTGTTTTTGGAAAGAGACTATCCAGGAAAAGTGATAGTGTGGTAGTTTTTCCATTTGCTTTCCACATCGCAGTACAGCAGCCGTTCAAACCACTCTGGTCACGCCTGTTGCTATATGAACCTGAACCATCTCGAGCATCATTTTCTCTGTGCTTCAAGTGGCTACTGATGACGCTGCTTCTGGCATCAGTTTTTGGTGCCTCTCTTCATCTGATGCCTACCCTTTGACCTGTCCAGCAAGGGAGGCCCTGTGGGTCCTTGGCATACTCAAACCCCCTCACCACAATAAGGTGGAGACACCAACGAGGGGGCTTGACTCATAGTAGATGAAAATATGCAATGGAAGCATGGCAGTGTTAATGCACCCATTCTGTGTTTGAACCAAATTTCATATTCTGTGATTGAAATTAAATTTAGATAATGTTACTGTTTACTGGTTAAATTGCAAACTGAAAAGTGACATAAAAGTACTAATTGATTGTTGAATGTCTCTGTTAAAGTGAGCATCATGGTCTAATTTCTAAATATTTCAATAACCTGTTACTTACAATCTGTAAAGTCTTGCATATTTTTCAGGTTTTGGCTGCTGCCAAATTTAGGTTCTTGCACTGTGATTGCCTTCCCACCCACAAAGAAGAATGAGCTGCTTTTTGGAACTGTGAACTCTTCTGTACACCTCTTGAATATAGGTAGGTTTGTTACAAATCAGTGGCTAACTATGAGGCATTCTCTCTCTTTTTTTTCTTCAGCTTCTTGTTTTTGATTTTAGAATTAGGGACCCTGACAGGAACATTGGACGGGCACACAGTTGCTCCCACGCAGGCCACTTTCTCTTCAACTGGCCAGTACTGCATCACAACTGCAGCACATGAGGCACTGATTTGGGACTTGAACTCCAACACTCTAGCTCACCAGCTGTCTCTTCAGACAAATGTTGTTGTGAAACAGGTACAGGATGCTCTGTGTGACTATTGTATTGGGTGAAGTATAAGAGGTTTTCCATAAATTAAGAATGGAAGCATGAGTCACATGTCTTGTTTACTTCAGATGTGATGTTGACATGCTATGGAAACTTTGTGATGATAAACCAACTACAAATAGGAATTCTTCATTCCTTATACATAATGGCAATTTTTTTGTCTTGAGAAAAGTATAAGTTCAATGTTGATTGTAGATATTAGTAATAATCTTGTGCAAAGCTCATGAACCATGTTATTGTGCCTCACTGTAGTTCCATTTGTTTCAAATATGACTGAATTTTTGTACAGGTTATTTTCATGCCTGTTTCGGACAATATATTGGCATGCTTTCAAGACGATGCCATATATATATGGAAATTTGACACCTTTGACTACATTAAGCAGATTGTACCAGATATGTGGGAAAGTCATCATGTGAAATCTATTGCATTTACTAGGGAAGTATGGTGTCAGTTTTGTATTTATAACTCTTTTTAATAATGGCAGGAGAACAGTAATCGAAACTGTGAACTAAAAACTATAGCTTATGCTGCATAAAAAAGAATGTCCTTGTGTAAGAATATTGTACCCTTTACTGACAGATGCACTTCATTTTTTTCTTTCAACATAAGTCAAGAAAATTTCCACTTTAAGTACTATATATTCTGGAAGAATATTTTCAGTCCCTCTCTACACTTCCTTTCCATTTATCATTTCTTCTATATCTTGTTGATCTACTCTATCCTTCCAGTATCCCATATTCAACAAAAATAAGTATTAGAACCAAGTTTCACTTAAAGTCTAAAAGTCTGTGGTGATGTACATAATGCTTGTAGAATTTTCATTTGTTAGATGTGATTTGAGTAGCATTTGCTTGGAATGGTAATTGCTGAAACAATGTTGTGGTACTAATAGAAAAGGGTTTGAATTCCATCTTTATGATAGATGGAAATTGACTGATAACAGAGTTGGTTTTCTGAGAACTGGTACCATGTCTGCATACATGTTATATAGGATGTAAAGTTCTCACTTCTTTGACTATGAAGATTACTGTCTTCTGGGATGTGACACCGTGTAGTTTGGTAAATATATACTGGTGTTCTGGAGGGATCATCTTCCTGCATATCCAGGATGCCCTGGAGATGGAGCAGCAGGCTTTTTCTAAAATGTTGATACCTATCAACAAAGCTACATAGTGTGCCATTTCAGAAGACGGTAATCTTCATAATGTCATTATGTTGTATTAAAATTAAATCATAATCACCTGCAGTGGAAGTTCATAATTTTAAAGCATACATGAAGACATATGAAATACTTAAGTTGTCCACCAGTATTGTCAGAAAAGTAATTGTAAGTAACTTACCCAGTGAGACCTCTGCAGAAGTTTGGTAATGTTCAGCAAAAACTGTTTAATCGCTGAAAGGTAACAAAATATCAGTGTCACTAGTTGTAAAATACCTGTAGTAAAAGGTAAAGTTGTCCCTGTGGTTAACTAATTAAATACTATGCCAGGAAGGTGTATGGAGCACTAATTGGAGATGAGTGGTTAGCATCATGTCCCAGCCGCTTTACCTCCAGGGAAGGAGGCCCCAGTTCCCTTTGGATAAGAGGCTGGGTGCGTTCCAGAACCAGTCTGGATGACATGGAGAAGAGAAGATTCTTGACCCTTCTGGGGGTTAAACTCCAACCCTTCCATCATCCAACCTGTAGCCAGTCGTTATAAAATAGCTGTAGTAACTAGATAACTAGAGTCTGTATACTGGCCATGGACTAGAGGCTGATAAACACTGGATTGAAATTAACTCTATTGCTGATGGGGAGATTTTGGGTTGTTTGTGTTACATTATGCATCCAGTCTTTAGATTCTATTTAAGTAGTAATATTAGTCTGAGTAACCATAAAATTTGGTTATTGAAAGCGATTTTTCTGTGCTTCCACATATATAGGAATCTGTCATGTTGAAAACAAAATTAGGTCATTGGTATTATTAGTAAGTTCTTTTGAATAATGTATTTCTAATGTTATATATTGTCACGTGTTGGGTATGTCACGCGACAAATAACTTCACGTGGGTCTTGGATTCAGCGAATCTTTATTGGATACACACACTTATACACCATACAGTAATTATCGCTTGTGGTATCACGTGGCTCCTGCGACGTCTCGACTGGCTTCCAACTGTCTTGCATGAAGGCTAATTAGCTCTGTGCTGTTGTAGCTCTGTCGCTCTGCTTTATGTAGTATGCTGACTTTTCTGTTAATGTTTTAAGATTTTGAAATTATGGTTATGATAAGAGACTGGGAAGAAGACATATGATGCTTGCCTTATGCATCTTCCATCTTCCTCACAGGTGTGCATGTCTGCCAAGTTGCTGCTGCTGCTGCTGTTTGTCTTTATGAGAGACTTGGAGTATTGACAATTTTTAATATGAGATTAGTTGTCCCTACTGCTGCCTACCTGCTGTGTTGAATACTGCCTTGCTTGGTATTAAAGAAGTATCCATGAAAATATCACACAGATCTTAATAATTAAAGTAGCATTTCCCAGCCTCATTATGCTTGTGGCACATTTTGTTATAGTTTTGAAATTGGAGGCAAGGTGGAAGAAGGGCAACTGCAAGAGACAGGGGTAGTCCTCCCTAGGGGAAATTTAAAAAAGGAAAGAATTGCTTTTTAAATCATTTTAGCATAAAAACATAACATTTGAGGTGGAATACGTAGGTTCCATTTTATGGCATGCAAAGCTCAATAGTAAAGTAAAAATGTATAAGTAAATCACGTGGTACATTTCTGCAATTATTGTGGCACATGCTGCAAGAACAATTGAATTAAGAGTATAAAATAGATTATAGGACAGTATTTGAATTTGTTGTTCTGGGAGCTCTGTAATAAAGGAAGGAAAACAGTATCACGAAAATGCACCTGAAGTAATATTTTTCACCATATCAGTCGATGTTTACGTTCCCAACAGAACGGACAATAATTTGTAAGATGAGGCACCAAATAGATAGTAAGTAAATAATACACTATCTTCAATACCAAAATCAATTGTTGATTATAACAAAATTTAATACTATTACTTTCATATCATTTTCAGATTAACATTAATATTACTACATCTACATCACAAGTCTCCAAAACAGTTTATTATATATACACAAAATATAGAATACTCCAATTTTTCCATGGCAACACAACAAAATCAAAAAACCAAAGACTGATTCAATGATGTAAAGCATCACTCGAATTTATTCTTGTTTTATACTATAACATTTGTTTTACATAATCTAATTTATTGTATTTTTATGCCAAGTATTTTAATATAATTAATATTATTGTTTCCAATGTTATTAGTACTGCAGTTCAGTGGTGTATATATGTTAGCCACGTATTTGCCTGATGATGGCTTTTAATAGCCGAAACATGTAGCAGAGCCAAACTAGGCACTGACCTTAATATAGTTGTGTTGTGACGGTTTTAATAAAGAAATTGTAAAGTAATATTTGTTCTGAACCACAGGAATGGGAGAGCGATGGTGATTGGAGGACATTCTCCAGTATTGGTTGTGTTCTGTCTTGATGCTTGGTCTGTGAAGAAAGTAATTAAACTTCCAGAGGATGTGTCAGGTGTTCGGCACATTGAATTTGTGCCCCAGCTCTTTGATGCTGGTGCAAATAAAGTAAGTAAACATGTAAGTTTGTTTTGTAATTGAATATGATATGCAGGACTGCACATGGTCAGAAGGTAAAAAAGAATTCATCTCTGATTTCTGTTCTCAATTTCTCAAACACTGCCTGTTCATTAAATTCTCTTTAAGGCATTTGAAATGTAGCAGTGTACTGCACAAACATCTTCAGAAATCATTTTAATTTATGGCCACTTCTTTTATGTTGCTAATATTGATGCAGACAAATTATGATCAGATTTTGGCTACCTTGTATTTCTATGCCATGTGTATGTATCCTCACTGTGTACTTCTAATAAAATCATTTCATGTATTCCAGATACTGGGATTGCTGTCTTCACATTGTACGCTTTATTTCCTGGATGTTGAATCATCCTTATTTCTAAAGAATGTGTTTGAGCCTCAGAAAAATATTAGTAAGTACTCTATTTCCTCAATTCTGTTCTTTTGATAGCATACAAAATAAAAAATGACATTAATGTTGCCTTGGACTGATCTGTAGCAGATTTTTAGCATTCGCGTGAACAACTAATAAATTGTGAGGTATGAGGTTCTCACAGTGGTGAAGATTACAGTCTTCTGGGAAATAACACTGTGTGTGTTAGTAATAGGTACCAACATTTAAAACAAATCTGCTACCTCAGTCTTTAGGGCCAATGGATCATGGAGTCAGCTTGCTTTGAAATGTTGGTACCTATTTACAAAACTACATGGCATCACATCCCAGGGGACCATAAACTTCCAGTAATAAATTAGAAAAATGTAACTTATGTGATTGAATTAAATATACTAAAAGTCATTTGATTGAGTATTGAAGACTATAACTTTAAGGAAGGCATGCGAAATTCACTACTGCATAAGTGCCACATTCAGATAATAAATGTTTCAGCTTGACTGCAGTTTCTTTTCATTTAACTAGTGACTTGAACTACTGATATTACACACAGGACAGAAGGAATAAATGATAAATAGCCTATGCTTGTATGCTCTAACAGTTACAGTTTTTTAAATATATTGTAACATGTTTCGAGTTTGAATCTTGTTGGTCATGTGTGTAAGTCCAATCCCACTTCTGACACCAGTGTAACGTGTTTTGTTACTGAAGACGCTGTTCGGATTGTTAATTGGTTTATTTAACAACCTACAAATGTCGGCTACAATTATTTATAACAAAGTTGCGGAGTTTCACACTTTATAACCCTATTCGCAATATTCAATTCACTCTGTCCTCAGTAGTCTACACGTTTCACAGTACGGGAGCTATACAAGTGTCACTGTGTTACACACTCCCAATTAATTCTCAGTTATCACAACTGTCACTGATTATCACACTTTTACTCGTTCACTGCTGACTGGAGAACTGTCATCGGCTGCTGATACTCTTTAACTCGTAACTGATGCCTTGAGAACTGTTGATCACACAGTGACTCTCACTTGCTGCTCAGCCGGCTTTTATTCCATTCGCTGTTGCCTGTTGCCCATGTCAAGAGCGGCATTGCGTTGCAGTGCCGCGTCACAGCGGGAAGCTGTGCCACGTCACAGTGCGGGTGGGGGCTACATCACCACGCGGAGGGGGGTGACGGAGCGCTGACTCACCCGCCACGTCACTGCTGGGGGGGGGGGGTTGTCCTCCATTGCGCAACATGTCACAATATTCCTTAATATGTTTGACAGTGCACAGTTAAGAGGTGAGCCCTCCAGCTTCATATTCATAAGGTCTTGAATTAAAATTTTAGCTTATTGACAGGCTGCCCTGACTGGTTTTTCATAGCTTTTCACATTATGTATGTCAACCCCAAAACAATTAGGTTAAAAGTTTATCATTGTAATAGATTAAAATTGCTTCTTAAAGTACAGTACTGTTAAATTTATGCATACTTCGGTGAGAGATTATATGTGTTTGTTGTTCTCTCACATGTGCCATATGTTCATTCATTCATTCATTCATTTATTGTATATTCCATAAATCCATATACATAGATATAGAACCAGTCACATAATTAATATAGTACAATACAAATATAAATATATATGTACAGTTTATAATCATTAAAATAGATAAAAAAAACATGTGTTAAATTTATATAAAAAAAACAGTCTTACATCACTATACATAAAATTATGCAATATTAAAATATTGTCTTAGCCATATTATCCTTCTTTATGTTCCCTAGAGAAACGTTTAAATGAATTTTTAATTTCTCTTGAAGGTTAAGTTCATCTTATGGTTCTTCTTCTTTAATTCACAGGCAAGTTTACAGTTAGTTGCAATGGGAAGTACGTTGCATGCATTCTGCAATCTGGTGAGGTAAATATGTATCGAAGCTCTCAACTGTTAGAGGCACAGTCTTCTGGAGAACCCATGTTGACAGAAGAAGCTCGTTCTGTCGAACAGGTTGATGTGGAGCCAGAGAAGAAAATGGCTACTCCCCATAGAGTCAGAGACTCTTTCAAACAAAACCTCCTCAAAGTTCATGAACAGGTTTGTGTATTCATGTCTTTTGCTACTTTGTTTAACCATTCTCTGTTCTTCTGCATCAGTGTAACTATTCTTCAGCAGTATGTGAATTCAACTAATTTCTGTAACAATTAATATGTTGCTGGACATTATCCATCATCTTGTCTGTTCTAAAAAAACCGTCTAGTTTCTATTAAAAACACAACGTTTCGGGAACTGGAATCTATCCCTGTCTTCAGGTAAAACCTACTCAGTTGGGTCCAATAGACAGAGCTAGCCCCTGAGTAGGTTTTACCTGAAGACGGGGACAGATTCCAGTTCCCGAAACGTTGTGTTTTTTAATAGAAACTAGACGGTTTTTTTAGAACAGACAAGATGATGGATAATGTCCAGCAACATATTAATTGTAACAATTTACCATCATCACAAACTTTTAGATCTTATTTAATTTCTGTAAGTTTCAGGGGTTATGAATGGTAAAATTTTCTGAATTCTTTCTACCATTGGTTAGCACAATTTACACAAATCTAAGAAAGTTAATTGCTTACGTCAGAATGTACAGGCTTATAATGAGGACATCATTATAGTAACAGGAATCATTGTACCCATGAGTTTCTTAAGTTACATATATGGAAACTCATCGCGTGAAACAGTGGCTTATTGTTTTAGCACAGTTATCATATTGAGTGATCCCTAAGTAGCTGCCATCAATTTCTATTGACCTATGCACCAGCTGTACATACAGTTTTGCTTCCAAAGTTATTTATGGCTAGTAAACATAAAGGTTCCATTAACACGCCCACACACACACATGCCCATGCGTGCACTCTCCCCCCCTCTCTCTCTCTCTCTCTCCTACTTCTGTCTACTAGAATTTTCTCATTCCAGACTAAGTAAGCAGTACACCCTCCCCCTCCAAGTTTTAACCGCTGAGAAATCTTCAGCACATTATATCAGCAGAAATTTTTTGGACAATGTTTTGATGTTTGCTACACTCATAAATTTTCTTCTTACTATACAGTCATTCTTCAGTGGTCTGTTATGAACTGTCTGGATGGAATTAGATATTTGTGAGCTGTTTTAAAATTTTAATTATGTGCAGCTCTAGTAAAAAACGGCTTGGATAGAGAAGAAAAACACAGTAGAGTAGTATAGACTTTTCCAGGGTTTTATATGCTCATGCTGAGTTGTCAAGTTCAGTTTTAAAAAGTATTTTAACTTTGTGTATTGGTTCTATTCAAATTTTTCACTACAGAACCCTCCTCACTCAATCATATCAATAATACGGTGTTTATGATGATGCAATTACATATTTCACATTACATTTGGATACTAATTCAGAAATCAGTACTAAGTGAAAGACTTTAGTCTTAAAACATGTCCATATAATGCTAATAGGAATGAACTAAGTGTTTCACAGAGATAATAAATTGAAGAACGGCATGAATTGTGACCTACATTTTAGTGAGACTGTAATTAAAGGCATTTAAATTCTGTAAGCTAAGTTTCTATAAGCAAGGTAGGCAATTCCTGACATAGTTGCACATGTACTGAAAAGTTATTGATGAGACTAGAATTTTAAGAAATTTGTTTTGGTCAAGAGGCTAACATTCATAATTTTTAATACCTCATAGGGTTTGATTGTGACTTGTTCGAAATTAATAACTTTGCATAATTTCTGTGTAGATTAAAGAAACTCTGGATTTGAGTCGCTTACGGCCTATCCTAAAGGAATTTGGGGAATACCCGGACTCTTACCGACCTCTCATTTGGAGAACTATCTTACAAACACCTTGTAACAAGGCAGCATATATGAATCTTGTCAAACGAGAAGTCCATCCAGCATACCTGCATCTTGAAGAACAGTACCCATTAGAAAACAGAAGTGTCTTGAAGAATCTGAGAAGGTAACTTTCCATTGTGTATTTCAGTTTTTAAATTATTTATGCTTTGAAAAGATTATAGGAGAAAATATTGTGGATTAAGTAGGTGGATCCAATATTTCTGTATGTCTCAGAATAGCTCATTATTTATTTAGCATTTGTGTAATATTAGCAGCTCTTGATTTAGTTGTCCAATTTTTTGGTCTCATGGCAAAATGTATGGAGCATTATTATCGTACTTACTTAGGTAAGAGGCAAAGTAAACTTATCCCTGAACTTAATTAAGCACCATACCGTGAAGAAGTATGGATGAATGGAGGTATAACCATGATACTAGATGGAGGTGAATGGTCAGCTTCACCCACTGGCTGCTTTATCCCTAGGGAAAGAGGCCCCTGTACCCAATGAATAGGATGCCAGCTCAGCCCCAGAGGTGAGGCAGTCTGGATGCTGTGGAGAGGAAAGAAATGTCTTTCCCAGCAGGAGTTGAACCCCAGTTACCTGGCTATCCAGACCATAGTCTAGTCACTGCTGATATCCAATTTTGTTTATGATGATGAAATCAAAAAATTTCTGGCCACAGATACTGACAGTTTCTCATTTTACTGTAACAGTGGATTTGTATTATGCATTTATGTTCCAGGCACAGAGAGAGTTTAATACTTGTCAGAGTGTATTAATTTCTATATATTTGTTGTTGTTTTACAGTATTCAGTGATTCAGTATTGAGGGGGTGGGTTTCCCCATGCACCGCGACTNACTGGTCCATTGTGCGTCCCCCTTTAATTTCTACTGTCTCCATACCCTACCGGTACTGGTGCTTACTATCAGTCCCTTTCTGCCAGCGAGGTTCCAACCTCTTACTGGCAGTGGTATCTAATAGTTAGTCCCTTTCTGTCAGCGAGGTCGTCCCTTTTCTGGCAGGGGTTCCTAGTCCCTTTCTGTCAGAGAGGTCGTCCCTCCTCTGGCAGTGGTACCTAATACTTCCCCATCTACCGGAGGCATTGGAAACTACCTTGGGTGGGAAATGTTGGGCCTAATTTA